CTGGGGCGGCTCGAGCAGCCCTGCGACCCAGCCTGGAGCGCCGATGTGGCAGCCGTGGTCATGCAGGAAGGGCTGGCTCACGTCTGCCTGGTCACTCCAAGCATGACACTTACCCGTGCCAAGGTGGAGGTGAACATCCCCCGCAAGCGGAAAGGGAACTGCAGTCAGCATGACCGGGCCCTGGAGAGGTTTTACGAGCAAGTGGTGCAAGCCATCCAGCGGCATATCAACTTTGAGGTGGTGAAGTGTGTACTGGTGGCCAGCCCGGGCTTCGTACGGGAGCAGTTTTGTGACTACATGTTCCAGCAGGCTGTCAAGACAGACAACAAGCTTCTGCTGGAGAACAGGTCCAAGTTCCTACAGGTAAGGAGCTTAAACAGCCTCAAGAGTGGGTAAAAGGAGGTTTAAGAGCTGTCTGTGATAAAAGGAGATAATTGCAAGGATGATGGGAAATAATTCACTTATTAGAGAAGATAAATTTCTGTCTGAACATTGTAAGGAAGTTATTTTCATGCCTCCCAAACTGTACGGTAATTTTGCAAGATACAGGGATGGTTCTTCCCTAGGATACCTTAATGTGGAGTAGAGAAAGTATTAAATATTTTAAACTACATATAATGGCGTGTTTAATCTTCAATCAAGAATGAAGTTGGAAAATATTTTAACTGTTGTGGTAATCTACTGTATTGCATAGCATGCATGATTATCAACAGCTTTTTAAGCTTTTTTAAAGTACCTGGATGTGATAGAAGTTAGTTAATTATGATGTTAGTTTTGTACTACATAGTTAAAGGTTATGCAGACCATAGCATTTTTTCCTGTTCATTAATCATCTCATTGATTGAGTGGGTGGGCTTTTTGCCTTTCACTGAAGTAGGCGCACTCGAAGCCTAAAATAAGTTTTCCTTTTCGTAAGAGTACTTGTATAATTTTTTAATTGGAGTAGGCCTGCAATCTGTGCTTGCAAAAGGGCTGGTTGGGGGCAGTGGGTGGCAAAACGTGTCCCAGTACTTAATGGTCACAATGTGTAGGAGACAAAGTGCGCCAAGAAGTCTCCTTTAGCATTTATAGCAAAGTGATAATAGGAAGTGTGAAAAGTTTTAATGTACTTCACAGCTTTGTAAGCATCATAGCTATGCAGTTGTGCAAGACGATGCTTTTGTGCTACTTGTCTGCAGCCTTAAGAGGTCTTTCTCTTCTTGAATACTTTAAAAGGAAGAGGCTTAAGTCTTAGTTTCTTAGTAGTTTTAAGTGTCCCTGCCTTGGGGACTGTCTGCAACAGCTTGCATATTTAACCCATTCTCTTTGAATAAGAGAAACAGCTTTCCTGGACTTCTTAAAATACAGTTTAAGGGATTTGGTCTAGGCTTTGGTTTGCAGGAGAGATCCTTTAAGAAAAGAACCATGTAGACTTCAAGAAAGAGTTAACTTCTTAGTTAAAAAAGATAAATATTATGTGTAGTGGAAGCTGTTTGTGATTGGTACTCAAGAAAATGGTCCATTTTATTTTAAAAAAACCAAACGTTTGACTTTTTTTGCTCTAGGTCCACTCTTCCTCGGGACATAAATACGCATTGAAGGAAGCCCTCTGCGACCCAGCTGTAACTAGCCGTCTCTCTGACACTAAGGCAGCTGGTGAGGTCAAAGCCTTAGATGACTTCTATAAAATGCTGCAGCATGAGCCTGACCGCGCTTTTTATGGTCTAAAACATGTGGAGAAGGCCAATGAAGCTATGGCCATCGATACCTTGCTGATCAGTGATGAGCTTTTCCGGCACCAGGATGTGGCTACACGTGCTCGATATGTTAAATTGGTAGATAGCGTACGGGAGAACATGGGCACAGTACGCATTTTCTCTAGCCTTCATGTGTCTGGAGAGCAGCTTGGCCAGCTGACAGGGGTGGCAGCCATCCTGCGCTTTCCTGTTGCTGAGCTCTCTGACCAGGAAGATGAATCTAGCTCTGAAGAGGATTGATAACAGTGACTTCATCCACGGTTTCTTTTCCAAGTCATGTTGAAATGACATTAAAGGCCCTCCCTTCCTAAATATTGTGTGCAGATGTGCCATGACATGTAATTTAAGGTTTTGATAGTATTTCTCACGGCATATAGCTCTGCTCAGCACACTAATGGATATTTGTTCTGTGGTAATGGTGATTAGTATACTGTGCATTGAAGCTGACTGTTTTTGCAAGTTATACCCTGGACCTCCAGCAGTACAAGAAACTCATTTGACTTTCCCAAGCTGCTTATTCTGCATGTTAAGGCAGACTGGCAGCTTAGTGTTTTGGAATGTGTATGAAAAGATAATAAACTAAGAGGGAGAAAACTATGTTAGTCTGTCTAATTCTGTTTAAATGCTTGAGTACCGTATTGCAAAACAAATCAAAGCTTCTTCATGCAAGACATATCAAAACTGTGTTTGATCTTCTTAGGATCTCACCATTCTTCCTACTATGTGGGAAAGGAGTGGGATCAACATCATCTGATAGGGGTTTTTTTGGTGTTACAAGTCTAACCACTTAAATATTTCTGTGAAACACTTGAAGCAATCTTTCAGAAAACAAATCCTTTAAATTAACCATTTCCTCCCTAATATGGTAGTAGATGCAAGATAAATTGTGAAGCTCAATGCACCCATTTCAGTTATCTTTCTGAATACTGTTACCTTGGAAGATTGTCCTGAAGGCTAACAAGGTATTACTTATCTTGTCATTGACTGTATTCTGATAAATCGGCATGGGGATTTTACACCAAGTTCAGAGAAGGTATATGAAGAGGCTTACAAAATCAAGACACTAGTTTCCATGGGGAATCTTTTGACAACGAATAGTTTAAGTTAGTTCATAATCTGGTATTTGTCCATTTGTGTACCTCTTTAAAAACATACATAAGCTGTGATACAGAAGGAAGGATTACAAATTTATAAATCAAACTTCAGCTTAAGATAATGATAGCTGTAAAAATCAAAATTGCTTTTCCAGTTATGTGATCTGCTCAAAGTATTGAGAGGCACTATAAACTTTTGTTTCTTCACTGGACAATAAAACAGTTTCTGCTTCCTTAGCCTAAGGTTTCAGATTCTGACAGAGCTGCAAGGGGATTGTTCAGTTTAAACCAATGTTTGATGGCATACGTGTTGTGTGTAAATAAGGGTTCCTTTTTTAAATGTGGTGGGAGGGGAGGAACAGAAGAAGCTTACCAAAAATAAATTTCACTTATGAAATTTGGAAGACAGCTGAAATACAGAAAGGGATATAACTGGAAGATTGAAAAGTAAAAACACCAAAACTTTTAGTCTGGGTAGAATAATCTTAGAAAAAGCGTTTTTAATGGTATTACCGTATGTTGATGTATGCCAGCTCTGTGAATTTGCTAGCTGAAATGTCAGCCTAAACTTGATAGAGAAGTACTTTTCGGGTAAAAGCCATCTCCCCTTTTCCCATTATCCACACAGTCTAAGGAGTGCATGATCAGAACTTACGTTAGAGCTGTACTTAATATTAACACTTTGATTCTTCTCTCACTGAAGACAAACAAGCCCATTAAGACAGTTGTTTAGAGTCAGCTCGCACAGATAAGCTATTTTATTTGAGCTTTACAGTTCCGTCGTCAATGGTGATGAGTGCCACAAGTTGTAGAATGCTCAGGTAGGCTTCCTTCAGCAGTTAGGAGTGGTTAAATCAAAATTTCTTTTTTTTTTTCTTTTGTAAATCTGCCTAAGCTGATTATACACTTTGCCTGCTAGAAAGCACTTTGATCCCTGCTCTCTATGGAGTTAAATGTAAAGGTTATATGAAACAGGTAGAACAATCTGACCTTCAATACATATTACGTATATGCAGCAAATTATAGCTTTGAACAGGCTCATTATGTCAAAAAGTTTTTAATTTATTTAAGATAAGCTGGTATATTAGTATTTCCCTTTTTATAAGTAATGCCAATTTGTTAAGATTGTACACAAATGAAACATACATTTGAAATTGTAACACACCAGGAAATTCTTAGTTTAATTCTCAGCAAACTGACAGACAAATCAAACTGTTCCTCGGTTGTGGAATGCTATTTTATCAGACCAAATTGATTCCAGTTATTCCATTTTGAACAAGAAATTATGAAGAGTTTTTTCTGTGTACTATGAGAAGATTACAAGGGCAATTCTGCAAGTCTTAAGTTTTGTGCTTGTGGTGGTGTATCACCAAGGAAAAGAAGCAGCCATTTTGATGCTTATTTGTTTTTTTTAAGGTATAGCAGCAAACATCTGGTAAGGAAATATGTTCATAGTGATTCTTTGAATTATTTACACTTAGAGTTAAAATTCTGCAGTGACTTTACAATTTATGAGTATTTTTCTTTTTTTTAGCTACTGCTATCAGTGCATTCAGTCTCTGAAAGAAATACACATCTAGTTGCCCAAACTATGGAAGGGTGGGATTTTTTCTTTTTTTTTGGTAAGCATTTTTGTAGTAAAATAAATATACAATCACTGTGTAGACAAATGCATCCTGTTTCAGGAAACAGCTTAAGGGCTTGGTATTGAAAGTAGACTGTTCAGTAGTTGCAGATGCTTGACCTGGCAAAGTTCCAGGGTTGCTAGTATCTTTTACATTTAAAGGAATTTTGAATAGTTGAAAAGTCCGTATTGACAAAGATGCTTGTCTAACACAAACCTTAATGTCTGTGTGTAGATAACACTTACACAGAAGATGTAGATCAAATGAGTAAGTGCTAGAGCCATGGGAAAATATTTTTTGTGTCTTTTCTTTGGAACTAAACATGCATGAACTAAAAACTGTCCGTGATATGAAAATGGTTCTCTCACACCATAAAGTATTTAAGTAATTTTGAACAGTGTCTCAGATTAGTTTTTGATTATATTCTAATGTAATTCTGTGAATTAGTAGCGTGGTTTGGCTTCCAATTTTTCAGTTTTCAAAATAAATTAATGCACATTGTTTAACAATTTTAGTAGGAAGAAAGCTTTAAAAAGTATAATGAAATCAGCTTGATCCTGAACCCTGCTGTGCTCTTAACTTCACAGATTCAAATAAATTCATTAGTTTAGGTCATAAAGCCTCTCTTGCAAACTCCTACTTTGGAACAGGCCCCAGTTTATTAGTTTTGTCACCTTTGGCATTTTAATCCAGTTCTTATTATATGAATTCTTTCTGGTGGTTTACCAAATAAAGTTCGATGCAAAACATGAGTTCACAACCAGCAAGAGACCAAAATAATGCTACTAGTTACAAAGCAAAATAAAAGATGAATCTTTTCGTAAAACTATAAAGCATGTAACAGTGTTTGACCTAGGGAATTCCTCATCTCCCTCCTTTCTGTCTTCACCATTGTGCACTATATGAGTAAAATGCTGGTAATAAATGGTCTTTTGACCTCTCCCTGACCACCAGTGTAACAAGAGCCCATAACTTTTCAGCTTAATTTGTAACACAACCAGCATAATATTTTTAAAGCCATGAAGTAATTTTCATTTGCTACTGTTTTCTCAAAGGTCAAGTAGCCCTGAATATTAAAACTATCTTACTTAGACTTTGAAAACGTCTTTATTTAACTTCTGAGCTGCTGACCTTGGTTTGCCTTTTCCTGTGAAGGTATATTATAGCTACCTTCTCAGCTGACTGATGTATAGCTTGAGCCTCTCTTAATTTCTTCCTGGAAGCTGCAGTATCCGCCTGGAAAATGTGCTCAGTTCCATAAAGGCAAAGTGGGGATAAAAGGTGTAATCATGTGCATGTGATTTTTTTTAGTCACCCAGTCCATTCACTTTTCTCTCAGATTTTCATATCTCTGTTTTTAAAGAAGACATGCCTGTTTCATAAAGGAATAGTTGTCTAGTTTTGCAGGAAAAAACATGTTCTCATAAAGTTTATGCTGTGGGTTGTGGGTTTTTTTTTATCTGAAGCCACATTTGTGCAGTTTGTGGTCTATTTCTTTTAAAAAAGATCTAAGAAAGAAATTTTTCAAATGTGAAACTGCAATTAGTAGGTCTGCAATTAGGAATCCTTGTTTATAACCCAAAATGGGAATTTCTGCAAGACACTTCAAAAAATGAATGAATGACTTCAGAAAACTACGTAGTTTTTTACTTTTTAGATATGGCAAAACTTCAGACTTGAATCTGCTTTTATCAGGTCCCGTTTTTTTTTTTCTTTTTTTTTTTAAGATAAAGTTAAAATGTTTATTTTGGAATGAAGTTGTTAAAATGTAGAGCTAGGTGCAGCTGCGGTGGTTCAGGCTGATGACTATTAAACAAAAAATAAGTTTCTTCAAGCTGTATTAATGTGGGGAATGCTACAGGTCTGGGACTCATTCCCTTCTCAGTTCTAGTTAAATATACACCTACAACTTGTTACAAAGAGAATGATAAAAGCTTTGATGCTGTTAGGATTTCTCAGTTTTGGTTTGATTTAGCAGATGGTGGGAACAGAAGAGAGACATGGCATTGCAGCAGATTATTGTGTACAGATACAGCAGTAGCTGTGTTCCTCCTATAGTGGACACAACTTGCTTTTAAAGACTGTTGTATTCAGATTTCATGTGGGCAAATAGTATTTTGCAAACTCATTATTCTGCTAATTTAGAGTTAAGAAAATGCCTAACCATTTGGGTCTGGTGATTATTGCTATAGTTCTTATTTCAGGCTCTGACAT